AAAAAAAAAAAAATAATATGAATTTTTGTACTGTGAAGCTAAAAACATCCAGGATGGTATAGTTTAGTTTTATTTTTTTGAGATGGAGTCTTGCTCTGTCTCCCAGGCTGGAGTGCAGTGATGTGATCTCGGCTCAGTGCAACCTCCGCCTCCTGGATTCAAGTGATTCTCAAGCAAGTAGCTGAGATTACAGGCAAGTGCCACCATGCCCGGCTAATTTTTGTAATTTTAGTAGAGACGGGGTTTTGCCATGTTGGCCAGGTTGATCTCCATGCCACCATGCCCAGCCTAAGGATAGTGTAGTTTAGTTAGCCTTTTTGCTACAGTTGGCCATCAGTTAATCCTTTCTCTCTCTTTTTTTTTCTTCTTTTTGAGACAGGGTCTCACTGTATTGCCCCGGCTGGCTGGAGTACAGTAGCACAATCTCAGCTCACTGCAACCTCTGCTTCCTGGTACAAGCGATTCTCCTACCTCAGCCTCTTGAGTAGCTGGGACGATAGATGCATGCCACCACGCCTGGCTAATTTTTGTATTTTTAGTAGAGATAGGATTTCACCATGTTGGCCAGGCTGGTCTCAAAATCCTGACCTCAAGTGATCCATCCACCTCGGCCTCCCAAAGTGCTGGGATTACAGGCAAGAGACACTGCGTCCGGCCAATCCTTTCTTTTCACAGGGGGAAGCCACAGGTCATTGCCAAATGTGAACCCTTGCCTACATCTGTGAAACAGCAATCAGGATCTGAGATCACCCAGTTAAAAAAAGCACAAAACCCTGTGTTCAAGCTATCCCACTGTATCAGTATCAAATGCTGACAGGGAGTAGGATAAGGGGCTGCCATACACTGCTGCTGGAAGCATAGATTGGTACCATTCATCCAAGACAGTAAATATCTGCATATTTTCCAATCCAGCTGTTCTGCTCCTAGGTCTAGGGAAACTCTTGCACATGTACAGGAGACATGTTTAAGAGTATTCATAGCAACATCATATATAATAATGAAAGCTGGAACCACCCACATGTTCATGAATAGTAAAATAGATAAACTGACATATACCCATACCACTGAAAAACACAGTGAAAATGAGTCAACATGGTTGAATCTTGAAACATGAAGTCTGTGGTCTGGGATCCTGTTAGTGTCAGAGTCCTCTAGGACCAATCCGAGGCTGTAATGAATACTGTGCTCGTCCTCCGAATCCCTGAGTCCCACAGGGGGCACAGTGCCCTTCCTGGAGGGTCACCATTTTAGGACTAGATGGAGCTCTCAGGCAGATATCTGGTTTTTGCTTATATCTCTGGCATTTCCCTCTCTAGTACACAATGAAAAATATACCATGGTAAAATTTTTGTTTTTGATTTTATAGAAATGGAAAGGGTTTAAGGAAACAGATACAGGACGGGTGCAGTGGCTCACTCTTGTTATCCCAGCACTTTGGGAGGCTGAGGCGGGCAGATCACCTGAGGTCAGGAGTTTGAGACCAGCCTGACCAACATGGCGAAACCGTCTCTATTAAATATACAAAATTAGCTGGGTGTGGTGGTGAATGTCTGTAATCCCAGCTACTCAGGAAACTGAGGCAGGAGAACTGCTTGAACCTGGGAGGCAGAGGTTGCAGTGAGCCAAGATCGCGCCATTGCTCTCTAGCCTGCGTGACAAAAGTGAAACTCCCATCTCAAAAAAAAGAAAAAGAAAAAGAGAAAACAGATACACCTGATCATTTTGGGAAGTTACATGGCTTAAAAATGAAGCAAATTTATTTATTTATTTTTTACCAGCAGCAGAATTCCCCTTGGTGGTCTTTAATTTGTGTGTCCCAAGCACAGCCTCACCTTTTGGGGTGCCCCCAGACACGGTCACATGTGCAGACTTTCTGGCTGGAGTCTTGGTCAGTGAACGCTTATGCTCATTATCTTTAGTAGCAGCTGAAAACCTAAATAGGACCGCAGAGTACAAGACATGAGTACTGTGGCAAGAGTAACTTGTGTCTAGCGTATAAATAAAACCACTTGACTATCAGCAAGCAGTGAAAAGGGCCTCAATTAATACTTGTCATAGGAATGAACCTCTTTTGCAGAAGAGACATATTCCTAAAAGGCTAATGCTAAAGTAAATCACATATCAACTAACGTTATTTGTAAAATATGTTCTTGTCTTTTCTGCTCTCCCTGTGATGGTGCTGGAGGAATAGGCCTGGAGGTCTCATTATAGTCCAAGAGGCAAGCCAAAAGCTCCCCTTCTTCTTCTTCTTCTTCCTCCTTCCTCTCTCCTCTTCCCTCCTCCTCCTCCTCCTCCTCGTGAGGGGAAGTCACAGGGAGCAGAAGACTGCTATGCTAGATGAGTGGTGAGAACAGGTCTTGTATCTTCCTAAAAGAATGTCATTCATTTGAGTGGTAGAGAAATAAACCCATTCTTTACCATTCTTTACATATGGCAAATTGCCACAAATGTATTTGATTGATTCACTGATAGTATTTTTTCTACATTTTAACATCTCTGAAATTGGGATGTGTTTTTACAATTCATAAGATGTCAGTAGTTGATTGGTAGGGTTTTTTCTTGAGACAGGTTCTGGCTCTGTCACCCAGGCTGGAGTGCAGTGGTGTGATCTCAGCTCATTACAACCTCTGCCTCCTAGGTTCAAGCCATCCTCCTGCCTCAGCCTCCCGAGTAGCTGGGACTATGGGTATGTGCCACTGTGCCTGGCTAATTTTTTTCTTCTTTTTTTTTTTTGAGATGGAGTTTCACTCTGTCACCCAGGTTGGAGTGCAATGGTGCAATCTTGGCTCACTGCAACCTCTGCCTCCCAGGTTCAAGTGATTCTACTGCCTCAGCCTCCCCAGTAGCTGGGATTACAGGCATGCACCACCACGCCTGGCTAATTTTGTATTTTTAGTACAGATGGGGTTTCACTATGTTGGCCAGGCTGGTCTTGAACTCCTGACCTTGTGATCTGCCCGCCTTGGCCTCCCAAAGTGCTGGGATTATAGGCGTGAGCCACCAAGCCTAGTCTGATTTTTCTTAATGGTTCATAAAATAACAATGAGCCTTCATTCAATTAATGGTATCTTATGGTGTGAAGTCCAGACCCACCTGTACATTGCAGTGAAGGGCCAACCCTCTGACCATGGTGTTCTGTTTTTTTTGAGACGACGTTTCACTCTGTCGCCCAGGCTGGAGTGCAATGGTATGATCTTGGCTCACTGCAACCTCCACCTCCTGGGTTCATGCGATTCTCCTGCCTCAGCCTCTGAAGCAGCTGGGATTACAGGTGCGCACCACCATGCCCAGATAATTTTGTATTTTTAGTACAGACGAGGTTTCACCATGTTGGTCATGGCTGGTCTTGAACTCCTGACCTCAGGTGATCCACCCGACTCGGGCTCCCAAAGTGCTGGGATTACAGGCATAAGCCACCGCTCCTGGGCCATGGTGTTCTTAAATGAAATCAGAACTACCAATTATAGGTACTTCATATTCCAAGCTAATTCAATAAATAGACTTCTAAACTTAAGTTTTAAGTTTTAAAGTTTTTAAGTTTTAAAAACTACATTGGAGGAACAGGAAAAGAAAATCTGATTAAAACATGGGCAGGCTGGGTGAGATGGTTCACACCTATAATCCCAGTACTTTGGGAGTACTCCGGTGCTGACTGAGTGGCTATGTGCCTGTGGCTAGGGCCTGAGAAACAGCTGTGAGATGCCTCACCCCTGCAGAGAAGCCCCTGACCTGCCCAATGCCCCTGTACTCCTAGTAAGGGCCTGAGAGGCAGTGTTGCAAGCAGCCTCTGGTAGATATGCCCCAAGGTCAGCCAAGCAGCCATGCAACTGCATACCAGGGCTGAGAAACAGCCCCACGGTCCCAAACCTGGCAAAGCCACCATCACCACCAACTCTCTTAGCCTAGGCTACTGAGAGACTTACAAATGCCACTCAAATGCACTACAGCTGAAGAAACTACACAGAGACTATATTCCTGTGCCCACTTAGAACCAAGGCCAACACACCCCACTTAACTGACACCCCAAGACCTATTCATATGAGTATGTTCTTCCCTATGAAACCTCCTCTATAAAATTGGAAGAGGTCACTTTCCTAACAGATGTGTAGAAATCAATGCAAGGACACATAAACCAAGAAAATGTAGGGAAACAAGTCACCTCCAAAGAAAAATGGTAATTCTCCAATAACCCAATTCATAGGGAAATATATGAAATACCAGAAAAAGAATTCAAAATAATAATCTTAGGGCAACTCCGTGAGACACACAAAATAATACAGACAAGTCAATGAAATCAGGAAAACAATTCATGATTTGAATGAGAAATTTAAGAGGTATGTATACCCGGGTGCACCCAGGTGCGGTGGCTCGTGCCTGTAATTCCAGCACTTTGGGAGGCCGAGGCAGGTGGATCACCTGAGGTCAGGAGTTTGAGACCAGCCTGGCCAACATGGTGAAACCCTGTCTCTACTAAAAATGAAAACTTAGCCGGTTGTGGTGGTACGTGCCTGTAGTCCCAGCTACTTGGGAGGCTGAGAATCGCTTGAACC